TTTTTTTTTTTTTTTTATCCTAGCAATTCCCAATGACCATGGAACTCTTTATTCACATAACACCTATTATTATCCTGCAAAATGAATGTTCTATTGAATACGGTTTGGAAAATACAAATCTAGCTTTTCTAAACATCGTCCATGGGTCCAGCCAGGCTGTGAAATAAATAGTGGGAATAGTGTGGATTCATAGTAAATTTAACTTTAGCATTGTAACACTGAGATATTAAAAGATGTTATGATAAACAGAAGGTTGTTGAGGACATAGTCCATTATATTGTTCTTTTAGTTTAATCCATGGAAATAATTCTCTTTCAGGTCACAGTATTCCAATAAACCTTCTCCTATGTGATCTTTTTTAAAAAAATCATGAATATCTTGTAATAGAGTATGTTTTCCTCTCTTCATTGACTCTAGAGGTCTCAAAGCGAAAATTCAGACCAATTTTAACAACTGTACAGGAGTAAATATTGTACATATTTATATCTTTATGTATGATTTATCATATTTTTTCTTCCCTTTGTTTTCATTGTCCCGAAATTTTCAAATTTCCTTTTCAATGCTATTGAACTTTGTAACTTATCTCAATTGTTTCTAAGCCTTGTAAGCCAAGCTGAAACAAAGTAGAGAAAAAGTAAATGAATCCTAATAGTTAAAAGCTTGAAGGACAAAGGACATATGACAAAGGACATAAGACTATTTGTGGTCAGCATAATAATAAGGAGAAGGCAAAGTTCTTGAGTCAGAATTAAGATATTTGCAGTTTATTTATTTAAAAATTTTTTTAATGTTTATTTATTTTTGAGAGAGAGACAGAGCGCGTGAACAGGGGAAGGACAGAGAGAGAGAGACACAGAATCCAAAGTGGGCTCCAGGCTCTGAGCTGTCAGCATGGAGCCTGAGGCGGGGCTGGAACCCATGAACCATGAGACCATGACCTAAGCTGAAGTCGGATGCCCAACCGACTGAGCCACCCAGGCGCCCTAAGCAGTTTATTTATTTTTTACAACACCGAGTAGCTCTCATTAATCTGAAACTCTCAAAAGTAAGAGCCACC